GTGTGTGTGTGTGTGGGTGTGTGTGTGTGTCCTACCACCTTCCTTGGGTTATGCATTGCTTGGGACTTTTTGCAGAACAGAGAATGTAAGTAAGAGTTTATGCTCTACTGACTGAGCTAGCCTCGTGAATATGAGAATGTCAGTAAGAAAACCAGTTTATTGTGAATAAGCCTGGCAAAACTGCTTTAGTGAGGTGGCAGGCCAAGGTGTCATTTACCATACACACCCTGGCATGAAAGGTTCCAAAGCACATGACTCCAATCAGACTGTGAAAAAAATGCGACACAGACCCAGACTGAGGAGCACCAGAAATGAGGACAGTCTGGGAAACTGCCATGATGTGAGATAATGCTCTTGTTCACTGTAAAGATTCTTCACTCCTATTGGTTTAGTAAAATGCTGATTGGCCAGGAGCCAGGCAGGAAGTATAGGTGGGGCTACCAGAGTGGGAGAATATATGGGAAGAGGAAGGCAGAGAGTGGGTTGCCAGCCAGATGCAGAGGAAGCAAGATAAGAATGCCTTACTGAGAAAAGGTACCTAGCCACATGGCTAAACATAGATAAAAAATTACAGGTTAATTATAGTTGTAAGAGTTTGTTAGTAATAAGCCTGAGCAATAGGCCAAACAGTTAATAATTAATACAAGCCTCTGTGTGTTATTTTGGGACTGAACAGCAGCAGGACCAGGTGGGACAGAAACCTCCATCTACACTGCCATAGCCAACAGTAGCCTGTATTAGGTTTCCCCAGAAAACGTGTGTGTGGGGGGGTGCATGTGTTTGTATGTGTATGTGCATGAATATCTGTGTGTGCATTATGTGTATATAAAATGTGCTTAAATATGTGTGCACTAGTGTGTTCATATATGTGTGCAAGTTTATGTGCAAATATCTTTTGTATCTATGTATGCAAGTTTATGTGTAAATGTCTGTGTGTATATGTGTGTGTTTGTATGTATATGTATGTGTTCTTGTGTGTGAGCACATTTGTGTATGCATGTATGTATGAACATGTGTGTGTATATTTGTGCATATGTGTGTTTATGTGAGTGCATATGGTGTTGGGATCAAACCCAGGGCTTCTTGTATGCTAAGTATTCTATTCATTGAGCTACTCCTCTACCTAAAGGGTTTTCTGGTTTTTTTCTTTCTTTTTTTTCCTCTTTGTGTGTGTCTATCACTAGAAATTTAATTTGAAGACTTGCAATGCAGCAAGTTCTCTGCCACTGAGCTATGCTTCTAGCTCTCCCTTCCTTATCCTTTGAGCCATATTTTGTCCATCCAGAACTTCATCTACTACCCACCTCAAAAGAAACCTCCAGGACCTGTATCTCTAACCAGGACATCCTCTGAAATACTTCATGTGTATTTGTCAAGGCTTCTTAGGAGTCTTCTCAAAGGGTATAAGAGAAATGAAGCATGGCTCATCTAAGTTAAAGAATAAACTACATAGCAATGAATAATAAAAAAACAGGAAATACTACTTAAAATAACAAAATGTTTTCTGGTTAAAAATTAAAAACTATACAAAGATCCATTTCCAAAATATAAAATGATTTATATTCAATTTATTTATATTCATATTCATCTATAATGGCATTAGTACAGAACAAATGCTAACAACCCAGAGTCCATTGTGCAATCACAGGTTGGGTGTCAAGGGCCTAACTATGTAATAGAGCAGTCCTCCCTCTGGGAGTCCAACCAGAAAGGTGATGATGCCTCCAGGCGATGATGCTGTGATAAGGCCTTCAGGACAGTCATTGTAGTAGTTGTGCATCTCTTCAGAAAATGTGGGAGTGCACTCCTCTGATGTGGGACAGAAAAAACAACACATTTTTACTGACCCTTAGGCATTCAACTCTCTGCTTTCAACACCAGATAAGGAATGGTTCACCACACAAAGTAATTCTGCATGGGATACCATGTAGTATCCACTAATATAATCTGATTCTGCCACTACCTAGAGACAGCTTCAAATCCTACAGTTTAAGGTCTTAGTCTCTCAAATTTATCTCTCACTTCACATCAGATGACAGCCAGGCACAGTAGATTCTTACATATAATTCTGATGTTTGAATTCCCAGGGGGGTGGGGAGGAGTTGTAGCTATATCAAACATTGTACAAGGCTAATTGACTGACTGAAATGTCGATAATTGTGGAGAGTCAGGATATTAAAGGTTGGGAACCAGATTTGTCTTGGGCTATCTTTAGCTCCCTTAATAGTCATTGATTTTCTGCCTCTCTGTTTGACCCAGCACCCTTGTGACTATTAGGTAAATCCTTTTGGAATGTATAGCCCCCTAGTCTCTACCAGTGCAAAAGCTAAGGAAGTCAAGAGAGTGTCTGAGCCTACAGCAGAGACGTCACTGCTTTGATGTAATTGGTCAACCTGATAGATCCACTAACATATTTGAAAAGTACCCTGATATATGACTTTGTTATATGACCATGAAAACTTCATGTCACCATATTGGAACCCAGTATTTGGGGCAACTAAATCTGTGTTCCCTGGCCAGGATCACTCATAGTTGGCTCCAGAATGAACTGTCTCTTACTTTCTTTGAGGTGAGAACTTTGGTTTTGCATTGACACTCCAGCTGCCTCTAGATCTGGGTCCCCATTTAGAAGAACAGGGAATGGAAAATGCTCATTTAATACAGGTACCCCAAAGCGGCAAAGAGTTGTGGTTTCTTGCTCCTTGTTATCTCTTAACTTTGCTTGGAAATTATAAGGACCCAGCTGAAAAATATAGAAGGGACCTAGATACCCATGGCTATGCCAACCGAGCTGACCATGTCATTCCCTGGTAGCACGAATTCTCTTTGGTCTTAGTAATAAAAACTCAGAGTCAGCTATCGGGTGGGGTATGTGAAAGCTGAAAGATCAGAAAAGCAAAGCAGCCAGCCACTAGAAAGTTCTTATACCAATGTTCAGACCAAAGGAGCGATCCTGTGCTCAGACTGCCTCCTCAAACTTACTGCTGCCCCAGACTGCATTGATCTCCTGTCTCCACCTGCCTTGTATGCCTCTCTATGCCCAGCCAAATCACTCCTGTCTCCACCTCCCTAGTGCTGGGATTAAAGATGTGTGATCCCAAATGTTAGGATCATCTTTGTGTGTGAGCTCTTTTCTCTTTTAGACAGATTCAATCTCATGTAGCCCAGGGAAGCCTTGAACTTACAGAGTTTCCCCGAGTGTTGGGATTAAAGGCGTGTGCCAATGCTACTTGGTCTCTATGGCTAACTACTGTGTCTAGCTCTGCTCTCTGATCACCAGGCAAGCTTTATAGTTAGATCATAAAATATCACCACATTCCCTCTCCAACTTTCTCCAGTCTCTGCCACACAACTTCAGACTAGCACTTTGATGGGATCCTCCTCCCAGGGGCAATATCTTTCTCTATAGCTCACTGGTAGAGTATCTGTTCTAAGTTTGATCCCCACTAGTGTATCACCCCCAAAATACAGATGAAGCACTGATTACATGTGTAATTTTAGCGATCTGGAAGCCTCCCCTGCCCTATCCCTTTTATTTCAGGTTTTCATACAGGCTTTGTGGCATAGGTAAGATTGATTAAGGAGACAGCTCATCAATACAGAGGAGCTTGGGGGTGTTTCAGACCTGGCCTGTGCCCTGTCTCCAAAAGATAAAGGGATAAGCTTTGCAATACCTTTTGTAAACCACTTATGTGGTATCCCCTCTCCCAAATTTAACTCGGATCTTTGTTGTTTTTGCTGTTTCTTTGAGACAGGGTCTCTCTATGTAGTCTTGAATGTCCTGGAACTTGATATGTAGACCAGGCTGGTCTCCTGCTCACAGAGATCCTCTGCCTCTCCCTTCTCAGTGTTTCGATCAAAGGCCTGGCTTTAACTTGGAATGTTTTGAGCATGCTCCTCTAGTTGAATGAAGCCCAGGTGAGTGCAAGCCTCCTATCTTCCCCTGCTGGTTCCTTTCAGATATGAATCTATGGACTCTGGCTTCACACTGTTCCATATTCCCCTGTCAGTCAGCTAGGAGCTGCTTTGAGCTGTTTTCATCCTGATTTTGGGTTCTGCTGTACAGACTGCAAAGAGAAAAAAAGAGAATTACCCTGCCTCCTAACAACTCATGTTTTATTAGTGAAAGCAAAAGTCAATGGACAGATATGCCAGGTGAAATGTGTATACTTTGTCTTTTTGCATGTTTCCTGAGTGAAAACAGTGTGCTAGAGTAGTGATGTGACTCCGGGTACCTAGGCAGCTTCAGGATTGAGGCTGATCTCCAGAATGACTTTCATCTGCACTCTTCACCCCCAAAACAGGGGAGGGTACCACTGTACAGGATTTAGAACTTCTAGTCAGCCTAGGCCCAAATCTTAAACCCACTATTAGTTCTGCTTCTGCTCCCAAGTTACCTCCAACAGTGACTTTATTTCTACTGGGACCCTCAGATAATCCATCTGGGTCAGATACAGAGTAAAGCAGTGCTCAGCCAGGCAGCCACTGCCCATTGCAGGAATGTCTGCTTTTTTTTTTTTCCAAGCTGTTACTCTTTGGAGGGCCTTCCTTATAGGCTGATACAGGCCTTGGTGTTAGAACAGAATCTAATAGAATAGACTAGAATAGAGTAGAATCCAATCAAGGAACTCTGAGTTAGAGACCTAGCATTCAAGTTGGGCTGCTTCAATCACTCTGGTAACAGACCACACCTAGCAAGTGGGCTCACTTTGAACTATGCTAAAGAGATAGGCAGTTCTTTCGTGAGACACTGTACTTTTCCTTCCCAGAACCCCTACCCCAGTGCAGAAGCAGACAGGCCACAGGATGTAAGTCTGCTGGCTTTTCTGAATTGAATCATTTTCCTTTCTGTCTTTCCCTGATGCTTTGGGATTCCTTCTTCTTCCTCAAGCTTCCCTCCCACCCACCATGTGGCTGCTGTCTGCCATGTGTCTGACCTTCATGCCTGCTTCAGTGCATAGTCTCCTCCCTTCTCTTCTCCAGTCTCTTCTGGGCAGAGTTGAAGTTTTCAACTTACCTGCCCTAGGGTTTTTTATTTAAACATGAATGAAATTAATCTTGAGCTTCTGTTTGAGTCCATTCAATTATTTTATTAGTGAGATGAATGGTGTCAAAAGGGAAAGCTAAGAAGCTATCTGCCTGCTCTTGGCTTTTGTACACCAACCTGAAGGGGGCCTAGCCCTGTGTTAGTCTGCTTTCTATAACTGTGAGGAAACACCATGACCAAGGCAACTTATAGAAGGGTTGGTTTGGCTTACAGTTCCAGAGGGATGAGAGTCTGTTGTGATGGGCAAGCATGGAAGCAGGCAACAGCCATGGTAGCTGGAGAACAAGCTGATGCCTCATGTATTGAACTGCAAGCATGGGGACATGACAGTGAACTGGATCTAGCCCAAGTCTTTTAACTCTCAAAGTTTACCTCCTGTGATTATTTCCTTCAACCTCCTCAACCTCTCAAATAGTGCCACCAGCTGGGAACCAAGATTTAAATAGGAGGAATATCATTCAAAGAGAATGACTGGGAACTGGGTGGGCTGCTTGCACACTTCCTGGGAACTGGGTGGGCTGCTTGCACACTTCCTGGGAACTGGGTGGGCTGCATGCACACTTCCTTAGTCTACTTTTGTTCATCTAACAGGATCTCTCATAGGACTGCTCCCCTCCTCTGGCCCAAAGGCCTATCTTACTTGCTCCTTGAGACAGGCAAGCCCAGCTAGTAATAAAGTAATTTATGGTTAGACTGGTTTTTCAAAGCTTTCTCTCCTAAAACAGTTTTTTCACTGTTGACATTTTATATTTTATATAATGAGTTTTAGTTGTTTTCACCACAATTCCCCCTCATTGCCCACACTCAGGTCTTTTTGTATGGCACCTACTGAAGAGCTAAATTTTGGGAAAAACCCTTTTCTTTCTTTCTGTTTTAATTCTAACTCACACTCCTTCTGCTTTGCCTTTCCTTAGGAAATGAATAAAAAAAAATCTTTGACTTTTTGAAATAAATGAAAGACAAACGATATAAGGAAATATCTTAGAAAAATAATGCCAAAATGTTATATTATGCTGCACAAACTTGGTAAATAATCTATGTAAAGTGCTTAGCATTGTGCCTGAATTATACAAGCACTGAATAAACAACAAAATGATTTTTACTATCTTCCCCATATAATATCTTAAGGGTTATTCACAATATGTGTAAAATGCTTGACATATTCTAGGTATTCAGAGAATAACACCTGCTATAACAAAGACAAATGATTTGACTCAGTGTAAATAATATGCTTACTAATAAATAGGTTTAAGAATTAAATAGTGGCATAGTGAACATAGATTTTAGATGAGAAAATTTACTACAAATCCTATTTTTTAGAAATTCGTCTTCTCTATTGATAATTTTTACACCCTGTAAACCACATTCTGTGCTAAGTTAAAGTGCAGTCTTGGTTGGTCTTGGCCTGCATGCAATGGCAACAAAAATAATGATTTAAGACTTTGGAAGAACACATGACATATGACCCTGGCCATTAAGTCATCAATACATTAGACTGGATAGAATTACTTGCTTTATCTAAATATAATATCAGCAGGGGAAAAAAGAAGAATAGAAACTATATATGGTGCTGTAGTGAGGGCAAATTCAGGGACCTGCATGTTAGATAGGTTCCCGAAAAGGATGACAGTGAGTCAGACTTCTCAGAAGCAGAGCATCTCTTCCAGATTCTTGGTGTTGGCCTAAATTTTCTAGTCTTCAGAGGTCCCAACAGAGGACACAGTCCTCTGGGAATGAAAGCAAGGGTGCCTCCTTCCACTGTGATAAAGAGGGTGGGGGCTGTTCCTCTCACCCTTTTTCCTTCCACTTTATCACTGTCTCTTGCTCCCAATCATCTTTGCTATAACTATGTCTTCCTCCTTTACAGGAAAATCCCCACCAGCAATAATGCATGTTGAGCTCTCTGGTACACACACACATGCTCTCCCTCTTGTTTGCTATCACCATCTTTGTATGTGTGCTTCCCTTTTGCAGGATAATTGCCATCAACAATAAAATGCATTTCTGTATCTCTCTGCCCCCACTCCCATCTCCTCCTCTATTCTCCCTTTGCTATAGATTCTGTTTCATTTCTTCACTCCCTGGCAGAGGAAAATCTTTGGAAAGTTCTCTCTAGGAATGCTGCCTCTACCAACTGAGCAAACATTTATTCTTCAGCCCACTCCAATCTGTCATCTGCCACCAACACTGAAATGAAATTGCTTTTGTCACTGTCACAAATGAATTGCATTTGCTACAATCCCTAGGTGCTTTTAAAAAATATGTATTTTCGATTATGTGGGGGGAAGTGTATATAGAGAGAGAGAGAGAGAGAGAGAGAGAGAGAGAGAGAGAGGAAGATGGAGAGGACATGTGCACATGAGTGCCTGTGACCTTGGAGGACAGAGACAATGGACCCTCCTGGAACTGGAGTTACAAGCAATTGTGAGCTCTGATATGGATTTGGAACCCAACTTGGGTCCTCTGAAAGAGCAGTAGGTGCTCTTCCTGCAGAGCTCTCTCTCTACTAGATGCTTTTAAAGCCCTGTTTACTCCACTCCCTAGCAGCACCCGAACACATGCAATTGCCCCAGAGAAGGGCTTCTCTTGGCACTGCGGCAGTATAGGACGATACCCTCCCATTGAGCTCCCCTCTGAGGGCTGCCTGCAGAGTTTTCTCTCAGAATTTTCCTAAGCACCAGCCCTAAAGAATCTTATTCACTCCCATGCTTTTAACCTCCCCCCCACCAGCTCTTCTAAATGCAGACACTCAGCTTAGTTGGATGGCTTGTTGAAATGTGATTCCCCTACCCCCCAACATATACATACCCTATAACCTGCCTTTGCCTCACTCCGGCTTCATCATGTTTCCTAAACTAAAAATCTGGGAATAAAGCCATGCTTTTGAGGTAGGATAGAAAGAGGGAAAATATAAGAGATAAAGCCCCTCATCCTAGGATCTAGTTTGCCTTTCCTGCTAACAATCAAGAAACTTACAAGATAAAGCCAAGATTGTCTACAGAGATGATAAGTGTTTCCCTGAAGATATCTCAAACAAAGATGCTAAAAACAAGTGAATTATTCTTAATCAGGCCCAGAATGTTTATAGGCTTGAGTTTAACCAAATTAACACTCCACACTTAACCTTAAATCTAAGCAGAGTATGTCATAAAAACCACTCGGTGGTTTTATTTACTTAAAAAAAAGTTTTAAAAACAGACTTGCTTTATTCTTGACAATTTCATTCATTGACATACAGTTCTTGCCTGTGCATGCACATATGTACACACACACACACACACACACACACACACACACACACACACACACCACACCCCTCACCTATGTTGTGGAATAATCCTTTTGTACACTGTGAAGATGTGTCTTTGCCAAGGCACCTTCTGATTGGTTTAATAAAGAGCTGAATGGCCAATAGCAAGGCAGGAATAGGTTAGACAGGACTTCCAGGAAGAGAGGAAGAAGAGATGCAGGGAGATTCCAGAGGAGATGGGGAGGAAGCAGGACATGTAGCCACCAGCCACATGACAGCAATAGATTAATAGAAATGGGTTAAGTTATAAGAGCTAGTTAGAAATAATCCTAAGCTAAGACCAAGCTTTCATAATTAATAATAAGTCTCTGTGTCATGATTTGGGGACTGGAAGTTCAAAAAAGCCTACTACACTCCTGTTTCTCTCTTCAAGCTCCAGTATTTGCCATGTTCCTGTCTTTGTTTGCTCCTCTATTGCTGTGATAAACAACATCCAGGGACAGATAGTCCTGGATAGTGTTAAGACAGCAGGCTGATTAAGTTGTGGAGAACAAGCCAGTAAGCAGCTTTCATTCATGGTCTTTGCTTTGGTTCCTGCCCTAAGTTCCTGCATTAGCTACCCTCAACAGTGGGTGTGTGAGCTGAAAGAAACCCTTTCTTCCAACATTTTTGGACATAGTGTTGATCATAGCAATCAAGAAGCAAGCCAAGACAGAAATAGGAACTAGGATAGTGGGGTACTAGTGTGGCAGACCTGGCCATGTTGATTTTGGGCATGTTTAAAACTTTGGGCTAGAAAAGGCCATTGGATACTTAGAGCTTAGGCTGTCATGGAAGCTTGGAAGGTAGGAATGCTGCAAGAGATGTAGACAATGGACACCTGGCTTGAAAAGCTTACAGGAAACAAAGACTGTCAGAGCTGTTTATGTGATACTTTGAATTAAGGATATGTGGTTTCTGGTCAGCTCGGTTTAAATCAGCTGTGACTAAAAAGAAACCAGAATCACTAAAGTGAAAAACTTTGCTTTATCTGGGGCTGAAATCAGCTGATTGAGACCAGCAGCACTAAGGGGAAATCTACTGGGAACTTTTCTCAGGGTCAGCATGTAGGTCCAGAGAGAGTAAAGGCTGCATCTCATGCTGACTGCCAAACTTGGTAACATGTAAGAATCATCCATGCAGTACAGGTTTTGAAGGCATGAAGGAGTCAATTGTCTTAGTTTTTTTTGTCAACTCAACAGAGTTAACTGGGAAGAGGAACATTAGTCGAGAAAATACCTCCATCAGATTTACTATAGGCAAGTCTGTAGAGTATTTTCTTGATTAATAATTGATAGAGTATTAGTTAATGCCTGACTCACATTTGGGCCAGTGGGTCCCTGAACTCATCCTGTGGTTACTTCCCCAGTCCCCAAATGTATAATTGAAATAAATATACTTAGAAGTTAGAAGAATTGCCACATCGGTTCCCTGACCTGTGATGTTAAGGCTATTATGGTTGGAAAGGCCAAATGGAAGGCATTGGAGTTGTCTTTATCAGGAAAACCAGTGAATCCAAAACAATATTGTATCTCTGAAGGGATGATAGGAATTAGTACCATGATTAAGAATTTGGAAGATTCAAGGGTGGTGGTTTCCACCACATCTCCTTTAACTCTATTTGACCTGTGCAGAAGACACATGGATCATGGAGAATGGCAGTGTCTTTTGAAAATTAACCAAGCAAAATTCCAATTGCAGCTGTTGTATTAAATGTGATTTCCTCGCTGGAACAGGTTAACACATCGCTTGGTATATGGTATGCAGCTATGGACCTGGCAAATATTTTTTTTCTCTATACAGATCCATAAGGACTACCAGAAACAATTTGCTTTCTGCTGGCAAGTCCTGAAGTATATCTTTACAGTTTTCCCTCAAGGGTATATCAATTGTCAAGCCCTGTCATAATTTAGTTCAAAGGGATATTGATCACTTGTCTCTTTCACAAGGTATTATACTATTCCACTATATTGATGACATTATGTTGATTGGACCAAATGAGCAGAGTGTAACAACCACTTTAGACTTGTTGATAAAACATGCGTGGATTATATGGTTAAGTAATATAACCAAAATTTAAGAGCTTTCTACCCTCGTGAAATTTCTAGGAGTCCAGTAGACATGTAGAAATAATCTTTCTAAAGGGAAAGATACATTGTTGGAACTGGCCCCTCCAAACACCAGCAAAGAAGCAAAACACTGGCCATTTTTGGATTTCAGAGATAGAATATTCCTCTCTCAAGCCTGTTACTTGGGACCCTATACCAAGTGACTAGAAAAGCTGTTATTTTTGAGTGAGGCCTGGAACAAGAAAAGACTCGTCAACAGATCCAGGCTGCTCTGTCACTTGGCCTGTATGATCTAGCAGACTCTATGGTACATGAGGTGTCTCTGGCAGAGAGAGAGATGCTGATTGGAGTCTATGGTAGGCCCCTGTGCGAATCACAGTGAAGGCCCTGGGAGCAAAGTGACACCCTGTCAACTGCAGACAAATATTCTTGTGATGGGCAGTTCTTGGTTGTTATTGGTCCTTAGTGGAAACTGAACATTTGAAATGGGCACCTGAAGTGCCCATTATGAGCTGGGTATTATGATTCACCAAGCCATAACGTTAGACATTCACAGCAGCAATCCACCATCAAATGGAAATAGTATGTATGATTGAACCTGAGCAGGTCCTGAGAGGGTACAATCAAGTTGTACAAAGAGATTGCCCAAATGTCTATGGTTTCTACTCCCATTACAATACCTTCTGGACCCAAGCATTGACCAATTTGCCTTATGGGGTATGCTCTATGGTGAGTTGACTAAGAAAAAGAAAACTAGGGCCTTTTTTTTTACAGATGGCTCTACACACTATGCCGGCACCATGCAGAAATGAACAGCAGTAGCATTACAGCCCCTTTCTAGAATAACTGTGAAGGATCTTAGTGGAGAAAAATCTTCAGTGGGCAGAATTTCAAGCA